GTGAGACCAGGAGAACAATTATTTAATTCTTCAAGTGAACATATTTGGTAGAAGGTTAAGATTGAGGAATAGATCTCAGATGATGATTGTACTTAGTAGTGATGGCGGAAGCTGTGAGAAAGGTTCGTGTACCTTGGGGAAATGACAGGAGCAGCAGCTACTCTTTGTGTCCTCTGACATTATGCTTTAGTTCCTGCTTGGGTTTCCTTTTGTTTGGTACTGGGGTTTAAACTCACGACCTTGTGCTTGTGAGGCAGGCATGGTGCCACTGAGCTAAATCCCCAGCCCTTGGGTTGACTTTTGACAATATAGGTGGAATGTATTAGACTCAGAATAATAACATGACAGACCTGGCTAAAATACTTGAAAACATTTAAAAGGGCATGGATGCAAAGAAGATGCTCTGTAGCTCGAGGTCAACTCTAGAGCTACCTTTTGGATGTACTGATTTTGTTGCTCCTAAAGGGCCTCCATTGCCATCTGAACCCCAGACTGTGGGTTTAATCTCCAGCCTCAGTGATTTTCTCCTTTGCTAGACTCTGCATTGCCTTAGAAGAAAAAGTATGGGCACAAGTTAAAAACTACCCCCACTTTTCCAACATCCTCACCACTTCCCATCTTTCCTCTAACTGCTTATACAGTGCTAGACTAGAATTATGGCACTAGATGAGTAAACATGACTTTATGCAACAGTCTCCTTACTTTTTGGGATTTCTAATACCCTTTGTCAAAAAGAAAGATAAAATACAGTGGACCCCTGACTTATGAACTCAATTTTTTCGTGAGGGCTGGTTGTAACTCAAGTTGGTCAGTTGAAGGCTCAGGCTCCTCTACACAGCCTTCACACTTTTTTCCAGGCAGATCTCAGTGTCCTTAGAGAGACATTGGCCCAGCATTTCTCAGTCAACCCCACACAGGAAAGGATGTTATAATGTTCCTCCCAGGGCTCTTTAAGGTTTAAATCTGTATGTGAGACCATCTGGAAGCACAAGTGGCCAGCATTCAGGTCATAACTCAAGACTTTGGTTGTAAGTTAAAACTAAAATTCCTGTCATAAGCCAAGTTGTTCATATGTCAGTCTGGTCATAACTTGAGGGTCCACTGTAATGTTAATTTTCCAGTTTGGCAAGTATGATGAGGGCTTACTAAACATTTGGTGCTAAATTATGTTGTTTTAGAATGATTAAAATTATCATCTAGAAGGAAAAAAAGAACAAAATGATAAAAATAGAGGACTCAATACTGAATCTTATTCCATGATGACAACTGAGGTAGAGAAAAGTAAAGGAAAAAGGGTGGAGAGAATAAGAATTGAGGGACTGGGTGAGGTGTCACATGCCTGTAATCCTAGAACTCTGGGAGGCTGAGGCAGGAGGATTATAAATTCAAGCTCTGACTGGGCAATTTAGTGAATTAACAAGACCCTCTCTCAAAAGAAAAAGTAAAACAAGGGCTGGAGGTATAGTTCAGTGCAAAGGCCCTGGGTTCACCTGGATTTAATTCTCAGTAACACACACACACACAAATGAGAAGGTAGTGAGAGACTAAGTCTGAAAGAAATGGGAAAAGTAGAGACTAGCACAGCGCCTGGCTGAAGAAGCAGGATTTAGTGAAATCATAAATTTGATTCAATGTCACATGAACCCATGTGGGGAGACATTTTAAAGAACAAGAGCATGATTATTAGTAAAAAAATGCTACAGGAAGCAAAGTGTGATTCAAAAGAAAATCTAGGGACCTTCAAAATATGATTGAAAAAAAAAACTAGAGACCTTGACAAAATTTAGAAGCACTTTTCTGAAGAATAAGTGGCATTGACACTGATAGCATTCTTATGAGGTAAAAAGGAGTGTTGCAAATAAGTAGCAATAAAAAGTGAGCCAGCCAGGCTGTATGCAGTGGTTCTGACCTGTAATCCCGGCTACCTGGGAGGCTGAGGCAGGAGGATCACAAGTTTAAGGTCAGCCAGGGCAATTTAGTGAGACCCTGTCTCAAAAAAAATAAAAAAATAAAAAGGGCCCAGGATGTAGTTTACGGGTGATGCCTGAGACCCTACGTTCAATCCTCAGTACCACAAGAAAAAGTTGTGCCAGCTGACTTGATATCTGATATCTAACTATTCACTCCCCATCCCTTAATCAAGCTGCAGTTCTTTTAAAATTCACTTGATCACTAAGGAAACATCTTCCTCTCCGGGCTGCAGGTCCAATCTGTGGTATGAAGTGAAAGGTTATCTCTTTCCCGCCATCTTTGAGCATTGGTCTTTTTCCTTTCCTTAAATTCCATCAGAAGAAAAAAAATCACCCAACTAACCTTTGGAAAAGTATTTCAAGCTTTTTTTTTTTCCTATCTGCTGTTACTTTTTCTTTTTTTCTATCACTTTCTTTTTTATCCTCAATTTTTATTTAAAAATAGATAATATATTTATAAAGTTCAAAAGTCAAAACTATAAAAGGTTTACATTTAGAAGTCTCATTTTCACTTCTTTCTTTCCTCCTTTTTTTCATTTTTTCATTTTCACTTCTGACTCCATCACCCTAATTTCTTCTTGCCTTCTATAGGTAATTTGTATTAGTTTCCTATTTGTCCTTTCAGTGGCTTCTCATGTAAAATTAAGTATCATGGGCCGGGGATTTAGCTCAGTGGCACCGCACCTGCCTTGCAAGTGCAAGTCCTGAGTTCAATCCCTGGTACCAAAAAAAATAAGTAAATAAAAAATAAAATTAAGTATCTCTCTCTCTCTCTCTCTCTCTCTCTCTCTCTCTCTCTCACACACACACACACACACACACACACTTATCTCCCATTTCTTACACATAAAGGAGCATAATGAGTACACTTTCAGATCAGATCTTGGTGGTTTTATAACTTAATAGTAAGATTTCTCCTCAGTGTGAAAAGATAGATCTTTATATTTTGCTATTTTTTTCATTACGTTTATTGGTACATTTTAGGTATACAATATGATGACATTCATTAACTTACTTGAATGTTGTTTTTCTGTCCATCTTTGCTCTTTCACCTTTAATCCTTTGTACAGTCAACATGTTTATGCTAACTGCCTAGAGGGTCATATATATTGTGAAAAATACCCCCAAGTCATTTCAATGCATTCCTCTCTTGAGGTTAAGAGTTCAGACATTGGTTTAGACACCAGCTCACATACTTACCTGCTCTAGTTATACTGGTCTTCTTGGAAAGGCAGCTCAGGATTTCTTTTCCCCTCTTCTCCCCCACCTCTCCACTCAGAAAGAGTGTTAAACTGGATTGAGAGGACTCCCTGGCACTAGGTTGAACCACAGTCACAGAAGGTGTAATTTTCAGAGGAGAAAAAGCTAAGTGGTTGTCTCTGCCTTCTGTCTGGAAGCACCCTTTCGCTGAACCTTCCCTTTGTGTCAGCTATGCCTAGGAGTAGACGCTTCCAGGCATCAAGACACACTTTCTTTCCATTTTTTTCCCCTGCAGGTATTCATAGGAAAGGCTTTGTCTTATCAGTGGAGAAAGAGCCAAGCCTAGAGTGTGGGTTTGGGGGCCTCACAGCAATCTAGCATAAGACAATTGCTATCATGAGCCTCACTCCTCCCAAACTGGAGTTTGAGGCCAACACCCTCGCCAATGATAAAGGGTCACTTTGTTTATACTCTGGCATAGATCTCTCTGAAACCCCCTGGTAATGGGACAAGATTCAGGTTTTACTGTATCTCAGTCAAATACATTTTAAGCCATATTGATCTCATCATCCCTTAATAAATCCCCACTTTCCAGTTTCAAATATGACACTGAACAAAGGAGGTCCTTGACCTAAGTTTCAGTTTCTTCACCTGGCAAAATGGGATCCATAATGCAGTCTTCATACATTTGATGTGAAGATTAAATGACTTAATGTTTGCAGAATACTTAACACAGTCCCTGGCTATTATAGTAGGTGCTTAATGAACAGTTGCTATTACTTTTATTATTGGTGCTGCTGAGCAAGTAGAGTGTTATTATTAAGAGCAGGTGTTTTGGAGCTAAACCGCTCTCTCTGGCTTTGGATCTACAGATCTGTGCTTAACATCTGTTTGGCCATAGGGAAGGTAGCTAACTTCTCAAAGCTTCAATTTCCTCAATCATAAAAAGAAGAATAGTAGTGTACCTCTCTCCCAGGGTTGCCCAGAGATTTTCATATGTAAAATGCTTAACACAGAGCTAGACATAGAAGTAGCTGCTATATCTTAATAGGATTAAAAAACCCAAACCCAACTCCACTTGAATGATTTCTGGCCCCTCAGATAAAGTGGAAGATACCTCTTCACATGTATGGGGGTTAAATGCAACATTTACTCATAAAAATGTACTCACAGTATTGTATACTTAAAATGTGTTGAGAGTAGAAATTGTGGGTTGTTTTGCTATTTAAAAATTAACACTCAGAGTTTTATAAGGTCACTGTAACATTCTGAGCATCTACTGTGCCCTTGGTTTATATTTTTCTTTAAACTTAAAAACAAAAATCAGAACGTCACTGATATGTAGTGCTGTCAGATTCAGTATGAACAGTACCATGTAGACTCAAATGCTGCCCTGCCTATCTACACCATTGCCATAAACTTCGACCCTTTATTTGCTCTACAAATACATGTTAATACCACAGGATTTACGATATTCCTGACCAAAGATGTGTAAAGGAGGTCAGCATTTTTTTAATCTCAAGTATCTAGGTCCAGGCTCAAATCAGAAATGTCTGACTCTTCAAATCTAAGCACCACATTTGTGCACATATTTTTTTCTGTGTTATGCTATCTTTAAAGCAGTAAAAGAGGGTGGTCATATGCTCCTCAAATTCTGGTCTACTGCTACCATTGACTAAATTGAAATAAATATTTTCTGAATAAGAAATTATAATTAAATCTCATATGAAGACATGAATGTGTTTATACTGAAGAAACAAAGAAAAACTGCTAAAAGTAAAATATGAATTTAGTATTTTATTTTTCTTTCAAATTTTACATTTGTTTCAGGAAAGAAAGAAAAGCTATTGGTATCATATTCTTCCCAAAAGTTGGAGCCACACTGAATATTTTCCTAGAAAATCTGGCATGTTTTATTGATGATGCCTAAGCTTATCCCTGTAAACACTTGAAGTGGGAAGATGTCAAAAGATAAAGAGGTAACAGATTTGAGGGGGGCCCAAATGATTCTCCTATAAGTCCAAAGCAAGTAGCTGTATGGTTGCTTTGTTTTGTTTTGTTCTAGGGTTACTGGGGTTGAACCTAGGGCTTTCACACTAAGCTACATTTCCTGCCTTTTTTATTTTGAGACAAGGTCTCACTAAGTTGCGCAAGCTAGGCTCAAACTTTTGATCTTCCTGCCTCAGCCTTTCAGAGTGCTATTGTAGGTGTGTTCCACCATAACCTGCTGTGATTTCATTTTAACGCAGCCCCAGTGGTGATTAACAAATCACCACTCTGGCTTTATGTAATGTTTCCCAGTTGAATAAAACAAGAATAGAAGAACACATTAGATGAAAATTTAACTCAGAAACTTTTGTGCTCTTACAGTGGACCCCTGACTTATGAACTCAATTCTTTCCTGAGGGGTGGTTGTAACTCAAGTTGGTCAGGCTCCTCTACACAGCCTTCTAAGTGTCTCTCCTGTATAATTTTAGGCCACACTTTCTTCCAGGCAGATCTCAGTGTCCTTAGAGAGACATTGGCCCAGCATTTCTCAGTCAACCCCACACAGGAAAGGATGTTATAATGTTCCTCCCAGGGCTCTTTAAGGTTTAAATCTGTATGTGAGACCATCTGGAAGCACAAGTGGCCAGCATTCAGGTCATAACTCAAGACTTTGGTTGTAAGTTAAAACTAAAATTCCTGTCATAAGCCAAGTTGTTCATATGTCAGGTCAGTCATAACGCGAGGGTCAACTGTATCTGTTTCCAGTGAACATCACCGATGTTCTTAATGCTTCCTAGGATCCTCAGTGGGCAGAGACCATAGTTACTACTTCAACACAAAACAAATCAAAAAAGTAGTTTAATATTATAGAATATTTTTATTCCAGAAGCAATCAAGAAATACACGAAGGGAGGAATTACACAAAAGATTAAAGTCTGATCTAGTAGAATGAAACTGTGACTCATTCGATAAAAAAATTGTAACTCATTCGATAAAAAACATCTGTTAAAACATAAATCACATTACTGGACTCTCAGCTACTCTAGGAATATAAATATTTCTAACTCTTGATTCTAGAGTTTGATTGTAATAGTTCATCACAAGCTTCTCAAACTTTTTTTTTTTTTTTTGGTGCTGGGGATCAAACTGAGGACCTTGTGCTTGCGAGGTACGTGGTGGCACCACTAAGCTAAATCCCCAGCCCATCAAACTTTAATGTTCATGTTACTCCTCTGATTATTCCCGAATATGTATTAGTAGATGCTTATTCAACAGATCTGGAGAGGGGCTCGATATTAAACCAGCTTTTGGGTGAAACTGATGCTGCTGGTCCACAGATCATACTTTGAGTAGCAAGAAAGGCACGGATAAAGAATTGGAATAAAATGTCACAAGTACTTGGAAATCTGGGCTGGGGATTTAGCTCAGTGGTTCTGCCACCTGCCTTGCAAGCACAAGGACATGAGTTCAATCCCTGGTACCAAAAAAAAAAAAAAGGGCCGGGGTTTAGCTCAGTAGCGCTGCACCTGCCTCACAAGTGCAAGGTCCTGAGTTCAATCCCCGGTACCGGTGAAAAGAAATCTATATGGAGTACTGTATGAGCCTCAAGCAGGGCCTTTCTATCTGTGAGTATTAGAAAAGGCTTCATAAAGTTGGAGTCAGATGAGCTGAGTCTTGTTCTCCTCATAATCTCAGGGAAAAGTGAAGAGGCCTATTTTGTAATTCAGTATAGCTGGACAGGCCATCTAAACTTTCTAACTTTCAATTTCTTTCTCATCTACAAAACTAGGGATTGAGCCAGGTGGATGGCACACCTGTAATCACAACACTTGGGAGGCTGAGGTAGGAAGAATATCGCCATGAGTTTGAGGCCAGCTTGGGCTACACAGTGAATTCAAGGCCAGCATAAACTACATAGTGAGACCCTGTCTCAAAAAACAAAACAAAAAAACCCTTCACAGCCCTGAAACTCAATGACTCTAATGAGATAAATTGTAAAATCACTTACTATAAGATTTGGTTAGAAGTTAAGGTGAAACAGTGTAAAAATGCTCTATTAATGAGACTAACAAACTGACCTACATTTGTCAAAAGTACATAAGTCACTAAGCAAAGAGCACTTAAACCTTAACAGCCTCTTAAACCTATTTTTTCCTATTTAGCTGCCTATTCATAGCCAGGTGTGTGGCTTCACGGCTGAACTACTTTTTTTTTGGTATCAGGGATCGAACTCAGGACCTTGTGCTTGCAAGGCCGGTGGTGGCACCACTGAGCTAAATCCCCAGCCCATGGCTGCACTACTTTAAAAGAATATCATACTCACTTTGCACAGCACAATACTTAACATTTATAAAGTACTTTTCATTTTCAAGACACTACAAATATCGGTTAATTACTTGTCACACAATTTGCAAGTTAATACTCATTAGTCCAATTACAAGTGGACCAGATGAAATTGAAGCAGTGAAGACAGGCTCCAGAGGGAGGATCAGAGCCAAATTGAGAATTCTGAGGGCTATCACCTATGCTGTTTATAGATGAGAGCCAGCCCTCACCAGGAAAGCACTGAATCAACAGGAAAGGAAGAAATCACCATTTCTGAGCATCTTGCTGAAGCTTGCCATTAAACACCAAAATGTCATATATGGAAAGAGACAAAGTATTATAAAGGCTTACTTCCACCTCCAACAAAACCTTCAATCTACCCAAAACGAAAAACAAGTTAACAGTGACTCCGTTTTTACAAAAAAAAAGTTTTCATTTTCTGTTACCTAGGTTTTGGTTGCTATAACAAATATAGTACCTGAGATAAATCAACTTTTAAAGAAGAAAGGTTTATTTTGGCTCTAGGTTTCAGTTCATGGTCAAATGGCCTGTTGCTTTTAAGCCTCTGATGAGGAAGTACATCATGGGGGGCAGGTGCATGGTGGAGCAAGCTGCTCACCTCATGGTGGCCAGGAGAGGGGGAAGGGACCAGGATCCCCATATCCCCTTGAAGGGCACATCCCCAATGACCTAACTTCCTTCTACTACTTCCTCACCAGCTGAAAGTTCCACCACCTCCCAATAGCACCACAAGCTGGCAACCGTGCCTTTTTTTTAGGTATACAATATAATGACATTCATCATTGGAAATTTGTACCTTTACGTAATCTATCTTGGTTCTTATATTTTTCCCCATTCCCCTGCCCTCCCTTCAACCCCTCTATCCCTCTCTATTTACAAAGAATTTGTTTCTATTTTTTCATTTTCTCATATTAATTCCATTCCCTTCTTTCCTTTCCCCTACCTCTCCTACTTCCCCTTCCCCTCTGGCAACTATGACTTTTAACACACAGGCTTTGGGGGACATTCCAGATCCAGACTATAGCATATCAGTATAATTTACATGAAGTTTGGTTTTTTGAGTGTTAAAACTTTTAAAGTATTTTCTAGAATGGGTTTTGAAGAAGTAATCATATTGTAATTACAATACATTCTCTTTCTATAGAGAACAGTTACAAATATCCCTTATAAATGAGCAAAACAAATTTTAAACACCAAGAATTACCCAATAAGAATTTAATCACTGTCTTGCAATTTCTGTTTTTTCCAGTGCTCCAAATGCTGTAGATGTATGTGTAGAACCTTTATAAGTAGAAATATAAATAATGTTATTTAAAAACTGACCAATCTGTAATTTTAATACTTCTGATTTATGGTCTAGGAGAGTGAGAAGTTGAATACAAAAGGCTAGTAAATTTGGTAGCAACTTAAAAATAAGGTACATTTGTATAAACCTGAAAGGAAGTATAACACAATTCTTTTTTTTTAGAATATCGAAATGAAGATGCCCAATCTTAGTATTAAGTTGTAATATAATATGATTCCTTTTAACAAAGGAAGCATTATATTGGACATTCCTTAGATTAAAACAGGTTTTCTACTTCCTTTGCGTTTTTTTCAGAGTGCCTTGTGTATACACATACAGAGAGACACAAACACACACACACAGCACACAGTTCATTTCTCTTTAACATACAACATAGATTAGAAAATTTTATTTTGCTTTTAACATTAAAAAATTTGGCACATGTATGTTATAGAAGTGCTCTTCAAAAATGAGTGTTAAGCCATTTTCATTTTAACATTTATTAAAAATCACATTTTATAAACACTAGGTAAATTGCATATAAAAGCTGCACATATACAGAAACAAAACAAAACCAGCAGCACTTATTAATGCAAAAGAAACTAATATGATGTTTAAATATGTATAACTTAATACAGTTACTAAATTTTCATTGCCAATAATTTTTTATGAATTCAAAACCTATTTCAGAAATGAAATATAGTAATTTTTATTACTACCAAAGTTTAGAAGTATAAAAACTATCATTATTTTAAAAAATCTTTTCAAACATTCAGAAGCCAAATGACTCTCCTTAAAGACAAATTAGGCTGGGGATGTAGCTCAGTGGTAAAGTGCTTGCCTAGCATGCATGAGGCCCTTGGTTCAACCCCCAACACCACCAAAAAAAACAAAAAAAAGGAAAAAGAGAAATTAAACATTAAAATCTCTTATGTAATTGAACAGTAAAAAGTTTTAGGCTTTGGTTAACAAATACTAAATTTAGTGGAAAATCTTAAATCAACATCTCCCTTATTATTATATTCCTGAGTTTGCTAAAATACCATTGGAAATAAAGAACTCAATCTATATCTTTCCATGACATTGGATTTAAGTTTTCAAAAACAAAAAAGAACTGATTATTTTAAATATGAATAATTATGTTTAATAATATAATCATGATAGGAAGGAATATATTTAGTGTAGCTTCACTAAGATAAAAAGTTAATGCACTCTGACCATTATTTGCGAAGATTATTTATAAATTATGATCATAGTTACATTAAACCTGTCATGAATTTTTATTTGCACCTTATGAAATCATATTGACTTTTCAGAGTATGATGATCTGGTAAAATAAATAATATGGTGCCAGGGATTTAGCTCAGTTGTGCCGTGCCTGCCTCACAAGCGCAAGGTCCTAAGTTTGATCCCCGTACTGAGGGAAAAAAAAAAAAGAAAGAAATCTAATGGTACAGTGCTAATGGTTAGCACAGAGCTAGGCACAGTGTGGGTGCTCAATATTACTAATTTAAAGTGAAGAGTTTTCTAATGTATTATTTCTGCATAGTAACATGCAATTCAATGTAGTAGTTAACCTGAAAACATCCAAAAACATTGTAGACATGAAAATGTATTTTTAGTAACAATCGTAAAAATAATTTTTACAAGGGGCCATTTTTGGTCTTAGTTTTATCAAAATAGAATTAAATTTCAGATTTTAAAATAGACCCTTTAAAAATAGGCTTATGGGGCTGGGCATGTAGCTCAGTGGTAGAGCACTTACCTAGCATGTGTGAGGCCCTAGGTTTGATTCCCTGTACTAGAAAAATAAATAAAATAGGCTTATGAAAGCTGTTTTCCTATTAGCTGCTGTATGTTTTGTGGATGGCTGGTTCAGCACCTTCACACATGATCAACCTATCAACACCCTTTGAACTGATTATAACATAGCCCTTGAAAGAGTTTTACCTAAAAATTGAATCTGTGCATCTGAGGATTGGGTCCAAGAATGTGGATTTTTTTTCTGGTACAGGGGATCGAACTCAGGACCTTATGCTTGCGAGGCAGGTGCCATGCCATTAAGCTAAATCCCCAGCCCAAGAATGTGGATTTTTTAACAAATACTTCTACCCTGCCTGCCTCCTGGCAAATTACTATGATCAGGTGGATTTGAGAAATAATGCTTTGAAAGCAACCAAAATAATTCTATCATATTTACATTACTTGATAAATGTATCAAGCTTTTCAATAATCTGCATGGCTTATCATCATGCCTATTTCAAAGTCACAAAGTTTTGTTCCAAATCTCTTGATAGCTCAGGAGATGGCTGATCAAACAGTAATCACCTTTAAAAAAATCTGCTGGTAGTTAGGCTTCTACAGTTTTACTATTGCATATACCTTCTCTTACCAGAAGCAGAAGAGACATCTAACAGTTGTATTTAAAAAAAAAAAAACACAATGTGCGATTTATTCAAATGGTCATACTACTTATGAGGAAGCCTCACAATGCTATACCAACATAAGTTATTAGACTTATTTGCAAAGCTAGTTATCAAATGCCTATTTCTTTTCTTTTTTTTTTTTTTTGTTTTAGTTTTGTTGCCCAGCAGGCCTCAAAGTCCTGGGCTCAAGTGATCTTCCTGCCTCAGCCTTTTGATTGGCTAGGACTACACTCATGTACCACTTATTTCTTTAAAAAATTCAATTTAAAAAGTAGTATGTCAACTCATGTACAAAATCTTGTTAGCTATTTAATGCAACTAGGAGGCAGTTATTTTATTTTTATTTTTATTTTTTTTTGGTACAAGGCACTGAACTCAGGATCTTGCACTTGCGAGGCAGACGGTAGAACCACTAAGCTAAATCCCCGGCCCAAGAGGCAGTTATTTAACTAAATATGTATACATGAAAAAATGTGCATGTGTTCATTCTAACTGATCAAATAGTAACAAATCCCTCTAAATTTAAAAAGATAAAATAAGCAGTGAAATGTATTCTCACACAAATATAGAGCACTGAGGAAAGTTGGAAAATTTAAATTATTAGAGATTTGAAAGTATATTTAATTAGGATTGAAATCATGAACTGGTAGTCACTTTATTTTCTAATCAGGGTATTATAAGCAAAGAAAGAAAACTACAAGCTTACTGAAGTGGGCTAAATAGTTTTTAAGCAGATTAAAACTATTTAATTGAGCTATTTTGATAGTTGCAGTAGTCAATGAGTTATTAAAAATAACATTTAACAATTTTAGCATTAGTAAAAATCACTGCAAATACACAAAAGCATATTATCAAACTCTGTACACAAAAGTTGGAAAGGGCTTAATACCAAATCCTTGGTTCCACATTTGCACTTCATATTCCCATCTGTATGTCAGCAAAATTGTAGAAGCTGTCTACATCTCCAGATGCTGTCTCCTTGCTTTCTGATACAAACATCTATATTAAATGTAAAATAAATAAAAAATAAGTACTGTGACCTCAAAATGCCAATGGCCACATCACCACAAAATAAAGTCACAAGCTTATTTAAATGAAATTCAAGTACATCATTTATTTAATTCACAGATTTTTCCATAGAATCAGTGCAGTATGGCTTCAATAGCTATAATGTAAATTAAGCTCTTTTAAAATCACTTGTGATATAATTGTCTTTGCTTTCATAACACTTCTGTTGTATTTTATGACACATGGAATTTTACTGTTTAATGTATGTACAACATTCAATATTACAAAAGCTACTGAGTAAGATTTATTTAAAGAACTCTTAGTTTCTTTTATTTTCTAATAAAAATCTCAGTAGGCTGAGAAGCAAAATTTAATATGCTTTTCAAAGCTGCTAAAGATATATTACTAATTTTATTTTATGTTATTTATTTATTTTTGCAGTGCTTGGGATTGAACCCAGGGTCTAGCTCATGGCAGGCAAGTGCTCTACCACTTAGCTATACCCCCTTTCACTGAAATAAGGTCTCACTATGTTGCCCAGGCTGGTGTTGAACTTCTAAGCTCAAGTGATCCTCCTGCCTCTGCCTCACAAGTAGTCAAGACTACAGGTATATGTCACCACTCCCAGCATATATTACTAATTTTATATGAACTATTTTCTGAACATCACTGAAAGAAACTCGTCAATAGAACTCCTTCAAGAGTGGCTTCTACAAATGTCAGCCAGAGAAATAGAGGAGACATGGGTTTTATTCTCGCTTTATCATAAACTAGCTGCATGATGCTGGCAGTTTAGTAAACTTCCCTGGACTCAGTTTCCACACTTGTAAAGTGAGAAAGTTAAATTAGATAACATCGTAACAATTCAGCTCTAAAAACTCTGAATCATATAACCATTTCATCTCTCAGTTCCTTTTTCTATTTCCCTTTTCCTTAGTACTACTGTGATGATAAAATGAGATGGAAGATACATATACTTTAAATTTCGCAAATTCAAAACAAATCAAAAGGACAAAACAAAAAATTTCCTGTTATTTATTAAAAATAGTCAATTATATATTTATTCATTTAATTCTTTTTTATGTTATATTAAGCTATTTAAATCTGAAATTCTTAGATATAGTAACTTCAACAACATATTTAGAAAATACCTACATGTAATCATTTCAAGATCTACCTCAGATTTAATGTTTGGTGATAAATTACTGAAACAAATAAAAATGAACTCCAGGCAATAGGATTTTCCTAAAGAATATAATCTTAGGAATAAAATATTTTACAACATATCACTATTTTTAAAAATTCAAGGGCTTGAAGAGACACTATGACTTTTGACTTTAAAATACTTGTTTTATTGAAGGTAAATTCTTATTTTCTTATTATTTTAAGCAATTGACGCTTTAGTTTAGCAAAGAAAAACCAAAGCTTAGTACCCAGTTATTTAAGATAGGTTCTAAAAATCACAATGTGTTGGATTAAAAGAGGGATAAAAGTACTATTTGGTTGTAAGGAAAAGGAAATGAAAGGTCAGACTGGGATATAGTCAATAACATCTTGTACCTTGGTTCCATTGAATATCTTGTTTATAATAAGTTGACATTCTTCTACAGCACCATCTGCATTAAATTCCAAGGCAATCACAGGACCTATAAGTAAACCCAAAAAGTGTTTTCTGAGTATGAGTACAAATATATTCTAAAAATTAATCTTTGTATTTTCCCCTGAAAAATCTTCAGCATCTTCTTTGGGGGTGAGAAAAAAGGAAGCAGGAAGTAGACAGATGGGACACATTACCACAGCTGCTTCTTCCTACACTAATCATGAAACAAATTAACATAGAGTCTCATCCCATGAAAAGTAGCTTTAGAGTTATTATAGGACTAGTGACACATTTTTTAAATAGTGTTCTAAATAGTCTGGTTTTTCTATGCTTTATTCTTCCATAAAAATCCGAGAATCTCCACTCATTTACCAGCACAAAGAATAGCTGACAAAATAGCAAATAAGATCAAAAGCAGTCCAAATCAACATAAGTAGGTCTTGCCAGGCAGCCAGATTTGCTTCCAACTCTCCTACTTACCAGCCAAGTTCTGGGCCACCAACAGTGGAGCTAAGCCAAATAGGAATTGAGGCCAAGCACAAAAGTAAAGCCCACCTGAAAGTATTTTCCTTGAGTGTGTCTTCAAGCTAAATTATAGAAATGATAATGAAGTTTTAAGTGTTTAAATCCTATAAATAGAGGGATTTGTGCCTCCTTTCCCATAAATTAATTTGAATACTTTTAAAACCCACTGTAACTTAAATTTTGAGGTCAAGATTCATGATTTAATCTTTGGTAAACTTGGATTGAAATGCAGCATTGGCACTATTAGTGTCAAATAGTTGGCAAGCATGGTCATAAATTAGAAAAGCAAAATATGCCCTTTAATTGAGTTAGTATGTATTCAACTATCACTATTTCCTAATGGACTACCTTTTTATTTCAGATAGTGATGGAGAAGTCCTGAGCTTCAAGGAACTACAAATTTCTTGGAAAAAAGGCAAATTCATTAAACAGATACAAAACAACATAGAATAATGAAGTAGAGTACTAAGGTGAATGAACATGAAATAAGTTGAATGTAGTTGTATGCCACAAGGTGTTACACAAGAATGAGAAAAAGATCGTACTACGTTGGGCACCTAAATAACCAAAGGTTTGTGATTTAATACAGACAACAAATACAGAAAAGGCAGAATATACAGCAGACAACTATGTTATGCAGTTAGACACAGAGAAAAAATTAAAATACGAGTTTTTCAGCAGCACAGGGTATAGATTATGATAGGTACTGGTAAGTGGGAATGCTTTCTTGCTCTTGGCAAGCTCTATGGAAGGGGCAGGTAATAATCAGAGGGCATTAAATGGAGCTAGAGATGAACTAATTGCAAGGGGAACAATTCTAAAGGGTGGCATATAGGAAAAGATTGTTAGAGAGCCTACGCGCCAGGGACAGAAGGGAAGTGCCCTGCAGGCTGGAGGGGCCAGGCAGAAAGGTGCCCCTCCCCCACTCTGGCCCCTTCTGAAGATACTGTTGCGTTTTTGAGAAGGAGAGGCACCCTGGAGTGGCTAGATCGGGAAGGGAGGGATCTCAGGCCCTTATTTGCATACCCAACATTCACAGCAAGCTTCCAGAAGATTCCCTGGTTTCAGCCTTCACCCTTATTGAATTAGGCCTGCAAGTTGTTACAATAGTAGCACTTCCCAGGCATTCTTCCTTTTAGTCTAGGTCTCCCTCCTGTGTACTAGTCTCTCTGTTCTGCAGCCCAGGCCCTGTTACAATAAAGACTCCCTTTAGTGTTCCTGTAAACCTGTTTGTGATTTATTTCTCAGGTAGCAGGGGCTCCAAAATTCCTATAAATCTACTTAAGACTTTTATCTTCCAAAGAGAGATGAATAAACATCAAAGAACTCCAGAAACCAGCAGCCAACAAAGACCAGCAGCAGAGACACACCATCTGGTAGAATTGACCTACAGTGTCCAGCACAAGCAGGCATCAGACAGTGACCTATGGTGTCCAGCATAAGCTGGCATCAGACTGTGACAGCTGGCAATGGCAGTGACCAGCAGCTGGCTGTGTCAAGTGTTGCCATCCAGCATTACCTGGTGACATCAAGATTGCTAGCGGAGCTGTACCTTGCCGATTCTTGAATCCAGCAAAAGAACCCTAGGCTGATTGGCAATATTCCCACACTTGGATCTACAGTCCAGTCTTAGATTGCAAGTAACTTGGTCTGTGGAATGTCACATGATCACAACTGGTCTGTCTGTCTCCTTTGATATACAAGTGCTTTGGATTATAAGCAGAATGAATTATTCTTACAAACCAAGGTTTTACTGTATTTAGAAAGATTGACTCTAATGTAAAAAAGATAAACATCGAGGGAAGAAAACCTAAGAAAAATGTTTACCTGTTAGAGAAAAGAGGGTCCAGGTGAAAGAGATAAGGATAGATGGAAGTGAAGCTTCTCTGAATGTACATTTTTAAATGTAATTTTGACATTGGGTATCATGCCAATGCCTCAAAAAAAATCAAAATTAAATATGGAACAAAAGCAAAAGCAGTTCCTAAAAATTAAAAACAAACTGAATCAAATGAGTCTAACTGTATATCAAGTTCATCACATGACCACACAGAGAAAAGAATTATTCCAACCAAACTCAAGAGCCAATATTTTGACTGTGCACCCTCAGTGGAATACAGTCTAAGGACAAAAAGATTGAAGGAAATCTTAAAATTATAGTAATCTCATTTGTACTATTAAAATTTGCTATTATTCTGAAACCATTTACATACGTATTATAAGCTCAATCAATATTATAAGGAACCAAAATTTTCAACTATTATAAATATAAATGAACAAATTTTTTTAAAAAGTCATATATTGGTGGTAAGTTGGTCTATCATTTGGATTTTAAATGTCCCCCAAAGGCCCATGTGTTAAAGGCTTGGTCCTTAGCCCATGGGAGTTGGTGGAAACATTAAGAGGCAGCTCTTAGGGGGAGGTCTTAAGTCACTGGGGGCTGCTCTCAAAGGGGATTGTGGGGACCTAGGTCTCTTTTCTCTCCTTTTTTTTCTGGCCACGTGGTGAATGGGCTTCTTCTGCCATGTGCCCTCACTATTGTGTACTGTGCTGCCAAACAATGGGTCTAATCAGTCATAGATTGAAATCTCTAAAACTGTGAGCCAAAAATAAACCTTCCCTTTTTATTAAATTGGTCACCTCAGGTGTTTTGTTACAGTACAGAAAGCTGATTAACACAGTTAGTACTTGTTAAAGCTGGATGACAGATATAGGGGTTTGTTATACAGACATTCCTCATTGAACCTAGTTCTGTTCCTGCGACTAGGTAGTTAAATGAATTGGTCGCTAAATGAGGTTTTGTATATAGTATGTACATTATGGTATTTGGGACAAAGAAATGGTCAAAGGAAACCCGAGCATGATAACTTTGCCTTTATTTGCATAACTCTTAAATGCAATACTGTAACATAACAATATAAAACTACTGTACTGTACAGTACAATCAGCAAAAATTATAGTACTATATAAATAAGACATACTATACTTTTATGGCTTGTGTCTAGATGTCCCCCCAAAGCCTCATGCAGTCATAGGTGGGGCTTTTTTTTTTGGTACTGGGGATCGAACTCAGGACTTTGTGCTTGTAACGCAGCCTCGGTGCCACTGAGCTAAATCCGTGGCCCTAGGTGGGGCTTTTTCAGAGGTGACTGAATCTAGAGTGTGTGAGTGATTCATGGTGCAATGCTAGGATTAAGGGTGCTAGAATTAAGGGTGTGTGATTACAAAATCAGTCCACTGTTTGGTTTGGAACCCTTTAATCTCAGTAGCCTGGATACAACATAAGGGACAGAAAGAGGCTTGTCTTGTCCCTTGCTTGCTTTGGTACCTTCTGGCCACCACAAACTGTTTCTCCTCTGTGATGCCTGTCTGCCATGCCACCTGCCTTGGAGCCAGCCAATTATGGGCTGAAACCTCTACAAACTGTGAGCCAAATAAACCTTTCTCCCTTTAACTTTGGGTGTCAGGTATTTTCTCTCAGCAAGGAGAGAAAAGTAACTAAGACATATACCAAAAAAGACATTGAGGCTATATAAACAAGATGTACAGAGCTGTACAAAAAAAAAGATGGATTGGAAGTCTGAGCAGTGGGTTGTAAGTCCAAATAGTCATTAAACAGGTAAGTCATTAAACAAGGACTATCTGTACTATTCTGTCTTTTCATGTTTAAAATTTTCCATTAAAAATATTGGATTGGCAAGGTTAGAAATGTCTTAGCAGAGAAGACCTCCTGCACATTTTGTAACAAAACATAGCTAGCTTTATAAAAGAAAATCTGTAGTCTTACATTTTCAATTTCAAATATCAATGTTAACTCATGATTTCTTTTTCTAAAAAAAAGAACCAGGGCTCCTTGGAGAAGTGGTTGATATTAGTTCTAGGCCAAATATTTGATATTAGTTCTAGAAAATACAGGATGAACGTGGAACATCTTGTAGAGCCATAAAGGGAAGTGTTTAAAAATCAAAAGGATGGACATATGTCAAAGGGACAGAGAAACCAACCCCAAAGAGCTCCCAAATGACTAAAACTGGAACAATGTGATAGTATTGCATTATAACCCAAATAATAAAATACACATCCATGAGTCAATAGTCATAGAAATAAAAGATTAAATAAATAAATAGAGAAGAAGGGCCAATACTCTTAAAAGAATTCCAAATAATATATGTGGACATTCCTTTCTCTAGGAGGTGGAGCTTAATGCTTCTATCCTTGAGTGTGGGCTAGTCTCAGTGCCTCGCTTCTAAAAAACAGTATGGAAAGAGAAAACACGGAAACTTTATAAAAGAAAAACCTGGCAGATAACACTCCATGTTGATATCATGGGTCCCATGATGTGATATGAACAGAAGGGTACTCCACCTTTTTCCCAAACCTGTATCTCTAGTCTAACTAGAAAAAAACAGCAGACCTATCCAAATTGAGAGACTCTCTTCAAAATAGATGACCAAAACTGTTTAAAAGTTTCAGGTTATGAAAACCAGGGAAAGACTGAGGAATTATCACAGATTGGAGGAGATTAAGGAGACACAGCAACTAAAAGCAATGTGGGATCTTAGATTACAGTAAAAAAAGGATATAAGTGGATAAACTGGTAAAGTTTGAATGAAGTCTATAGTTTGAGTTAATGGCATTTTTACCACTGTAAATTTCTTAGTTTTGACAAATGTACCATGGTTGTATTAACATTAGGGGAAGCAGGGCCAGGGATTTAGCTCAGTGGTTTCACTGCCTGCTATGCAAGTGCAAGGACCTGAGATCGATCCCCGGTACCAAAAAAAAAAAAAAAACAAAAAAAAACCAGGGGAAGCTGAATAAAGAATATACATAAACTCTCTGTACTATTTTTGCATTTTTTCTATAAAACAAATTATTCCAATAGAAAAGTTCATTTAAAAGACAAAAAAAATGTCCAGAAGCTTCTCATCTTATTCAGACCAGAATGCTCAGTCTCTATAGTATCCTACAAGACCCTACATTATCTGACTCTATCTCAGCTACTTCTCAGACTTCATCTACTATTTTGTTGAATAAATTAACGAATGGCCTTCTAAACCAAATTAAGCCATCTAATCTTCAGAATCATCTGGGAAACTATTAAAATGTAGATTTTATGGACATATCTCAGGTTCTTTTGAATCATTCTTTTTGAGGTGGGGTGTGTGAGTTGGATATTAATTACATACACAAACACATATATAGAGCCTAGGCTAGGCTCAAACTTGTGATCCTTCCACCTCAGCCTCCTGGGTAGCTGAGAGTACAGGTGTGTGCCACCATACCTGGCTGGTAATTTACATTTTTAAAAGCGCCCTAGATGGTTCTGAGGATTAGATTTGGAAATTTCTCAAAATGGAAAACAGGAAATTCTTTTATTAAGCAGTCAAATAGCTATATGAACTAAAAAATAATTATGACTACTTTAACTGAAGAGGAAAATTTAGACACTTTGAGGTGGCAGCAAAGTAGGTATATACTTATATAGTGAATTTTCAAAAGAGTAAGTGTACCCTTAGAACAGTAGTTCTCAACTAGGAGCAATTTTGCCCCATAGGGGACATTTTGCAATGTCTGAAAAACAATTTCAGTTGCAATAACTAGAGCAACTGGCATCTAGGAGACAGAGACCAAAAATGCTGCTAAGCATCCAGTAAGGCACAGGATAATCATTCATAACATTATCTGCCTAAAACATCAGTAGTGTCAAAGTTGAGAAACCTTGTCTTAGGATGATCAATAGCCATTTTTAAAGAAGGATCCAGTCCATTCAACTCCTGCTTGGCAGTTTGCTTACTCTTCCACAATGCATAATTGAGCAGTTTTTAAATTTTCTTCAAGTTTTTATTTTGAAAAAGTTCACATATTATAGGAGAGTTGAAAGAGCAGCATGAACATCTCTTTGCCCTTCATCTAAACCTACCAACTCAAAATGTGGTCACATTTGCTTTATTGCATGATATACACCATGTACACACACGTGCTATTTTTTATTTTGTTGACATGACACTCAGCACGCATCTCCTATATAACTACAATATCATTATCATACCTCAGGAAATAAGAATAATTCCCTATCATTTTCATACTTCCTCAGTTTGTCCCCAAAATGCCATTTATAGCTTTACAGCCCACCTCATCTCAATCCAAAATCCAATCAAAGTTCACTCATTGCATCCAGCTGTTATTTCTCTTCAGATTCTTTTAATCCAGAAGAGTTCCCCATCTCTTCTGTTTTCCAACAGTGTCTGAAGAAATCTAGCTAGTTGTCTTACTGAATGTCTTCTATTTTGGATTTAGCTCATTGTCTCCTCATGGTGTCATTTAGCGTATTTCCTTTCCTTCCTATAAGCTAGGATTTAAGTTCTGGTTCAATTAGACTATAGTGAAATACTTTTAGCAATAATACTTCACAAGTGATGTGGTGTAGTTCTCATTGCAGCTCATCAGAAGAAACAATATCAGGCTACTCATCACTGACAATAAGTTTGATCACTGTGTTAACAGAGTTATCACAAAATCACTGCTGTAAAGATATGTTTCCTCTCTGGATTAGAATGTATAAATATCTTACTTCTTAGTAACTTCTCCCTCAATAGTTTTAGCATCTACTGATAATTTTTGTGTGAGATGATTATTACATTGAGGTTGAAAAATAGTGATTTCCAAAGTCTATCATTTCGTACACATTTATTAGTTCACAATATTCTGTAAACAGCAGAGGAGTGTTCCTTTATTTTCTCCTCTCCTTTATCACCATGGAGGCATGGATTTCTGTTGTTAAATTAGTACCTTTATTTTTCTCCTTTTTATCCTCCCTCTCCTCTCCCTTCCCCTACCCTTTCTCCTCCTCCTCCTCTTCTTTCTTCTGTCTCTGTCTCTGTTTCTCCCTCTCTCTCTCTTTGGTGCTGGGTATTAAACTCAGGGCCTTGCACATGCTAGGCAAGTGTTCTACCACTGAGCTACACCCTCCAGTTTCCATCATTCTTTGTGATGGTCAAATTGTGCCCAAATTTGTCTGGTGAAAACTCCATCAAGTTGGCTCTTGTGACTTTCTGACATGACTTCATCAATCTTTGGGTACTTCCTATGGGTATTTCTGGCTTTGTTTTTTTGTCAAAACCTTTATTGGTGCATCCTAGATATGATAACATTCGTCATAGGGAATTTGTACCAGTACATGATATATATTGCTGCTTCTTTTTTTTCCCATTACCCCCTGCCTTATGTACAAAAGCTTGTTTCCATTTTTTCCTTCAATTTTTCTCTCTTTTTTTCTTGTCCTTTCTTTGGCTTTTAAGACCTGTTTTTATGATGTTTATTTCCTGAAATTCCGATAAGCTCTGTTTTAGTTCTAGGTTTTGCAGTAGTAGAACATTATACTACTTGCATGTGGAACACTGTTACTTAAATGCAGATACTATTATTTGGGTTGCAGTAATATTATGATGCTACTTCAATAACATCACACAAGTATATAAATCATTAATTTAGACCTACTCATGTGTTCATTTCTAACCCTCATACATTAAGATGTCCATTACACTTATTACCTGATTCCATTTCTGAGAGCTGTTGAAAGTATAAAGTTTTGGATTTTTTAAATTAAAATTTAGCCTTGAGCAAACAACACCTCCACTCTGAGCCGGCAAACAGTACTCTGCCCTCTAGAGTCCGTATACCGTCACATACAGATAGGCGGACAGTACAACAAACTCCAGTTCCTCTCTGAGATGCAGACATATATCCAGTATCTGAAACTTATTGGTGAAACTCATTGGGGAAATTCTAATTCTACATGGGAAGTTAACCAATCATATGAAATACATAAAGTAGTATATCACTTTATTTATATTTCTTATTTCTTTCTCAGTATGGTCAAAGCACATCTTTATCAAGTCCTCTGCAACTCCAGGCAGGGAGTATAAAATGTTAACTCATTACAGTATAAAGCACAACAATAATAATAACTAAAAATAAAACATGTGACCTTTAAATACTAACACAGAACAAGGAAAAACCTAATGCCCAATTTCTAGTCAGTTATGTAGGACTTCTAGTCAGTTATGTAGAAATTTTGACATTTCTAAACAGTAATAGGAAAAACAGAACAAATGAGAAGAAAAAGTAAGAGAAATGTTAAAGTAAGAATAAATCAAATCAGAATGTCAAGAAAATAACCACAGAAGTATATCAATCATCCAGAAGTTACCTTTGTTTAGAAGGGGAAGGAAGTCAGGTGCTTTTTCCCGAAAAACCCTTTTTGCATCCTCAGCTTTCATGGACACTTCCTTTGTCTGAACTAGGAAAAAGCCTTTACCAACCATCTGTGGAAAATAAAGTTTCATTTAGATTTTAAAATAAACATCTGAGATAAAAACAATGTTATCCTATTCAAGCATTTTTTCCATATAAAATTCAACACAGCATGTTGATTTTTGTTTTAGTCTTTAACTCTAATTCAAATTTGCAGTAACACATTCTCACATAGAAAGGTTCCTTGGTTCACGAACTCAGTTGATTCTGGTCATGAACCAAACTGGATGAGAACGGAATCAAATTTCCCCATAAGGTCAACATTGAATCTAACCATTGAATTTGATTTGGTTCTCATCCAACTCAGTTTGCAACCAGGATCATAGAATCAAGTCCATGAACTGATTCCTTCTTACAGATGGGTGGTTCTGGTTAAGAATTAGTACTGCAGGGACAAAATGGCACAGCAGTGAGTTCCAGTGACTCAGCTTCTCCAGGACAGTGTCTGGAGTCTGGAGTTCAGTGGCTTGGAGAGGAACAGAAGTTAAAGGAGAGTATATGGGAACCATGAGGGAAATGGCAGGAGAAAAAAGTTGGATTGAGTGATACAGAGGTGGCCCATATGGCAGAGGAGAAAATGGGGCTGCTGAGGGGCACAATTCATAATAGCTAAATCCTGTAAGCAGCCTGTATATCCATTAACAGATAATTCCAAAAAGAAAATGTGGTATCTATCCATAATGGAGTACTACTTGAAGAAAGACACATTTGAGACATTTGTTGGAAAATACAGTGTTGAGTAAAATACATCACACACAAGCTTAAATACCATAAGTATCTCTCATTTGAGTGATGCAAAGTTCAAACAAAGAAAATGATAAAGGATGGATAGAAGGGGACAAAGGAATGAATCGCTTTTAATAGGGAAGTGGTCCAAGGGAACACAGCAAGGGGTGAGGAAGAGGGGAAGAGGAAATCAGAGGAATAAAGATGTGCCATGTACAGGACCCTAATAATCTCAATTTCTGTAAACACTGTGCCAATACATGAGCTAAGACAAATAATATCAACAAGTACAAAAAAGGGGTAGGGGATAGGGGAACTGGGGGAGGGAATAGGAAGGGGATTAAAAAGAAAAAGAAGCTGTAATATGTACATGTAACCACTCCCCAAAATGATTGTAACTGCATGAATTGCAAACATGTACTAATAAAATAAAAAATTATAAAAATGAATTAGTACTGTAGTGCCTACTGTTAAGAGTAAGAGTCAAATATTAAATGTTTATTATTCCTCAATTTAAAACATAATTAAGGTGGGTGTTGTGGCACATGCCTGTAATCCCAGCACTCTGGGAGGCTGAGGCAGGAGGATTGTAAATTCCAGCCCAGCCTGGGAAATTTAACAACCTAGTGAGATCTAAAATAAAAAGTAAAGGGCTTGGGATATGACTCAGTGCAAAAGCCTCCTGTTCAATCCCCAGTGCTGAAGAAAAAGAAATAAAACATGATTTAATTTTTTTTCTTTTCTGAAACTACCAGATGGAAGCTTTAGTTTCGTGACACTGAAAATGTCCAATGAAAGGAGAATGGTTAAGTAAATTATGGTATTTACATGATGAAATACCATAGTTAATTATATTTATCATAGTTCATTAAATATAACAAAAATATAATACAGTGGGACGAATTTTATGTAATGTTAATTTTAGAAGGCATAGTACACATTTGTACAGTAGAGCACAATAAGAGTTCAAATCTATGGAGTACTATGTACCAGGAAATTTTATGCACTTTACATGCATAATACATTTAGCCCTCTCATGATACAGGTATTCATTGTATGGATGAGATAACAAAGAGATGAAGTGGTTAAGACACTTGTCCAAGGTTACAGAACTATTAAGTAACAGCTAGGATTCGAATCCAATTCATGTGATTACAGACTAAATAAATTCTAAATATTATTCCTAAAAAGACTGTTTAAGGTACAGTACAATTATGAATGATTTAAAATTTATCTTTACTATTCTTTATTTCTGTAGTTCACTATTAATGTATATTAATTTTAAAAAGTATGACAGTTTTTTAAAAATGCAAAGCAAGCAAAGCTTACTAGGTTTAATAATAAAAAGATACACACACACACACACACACACACAAAGAGAGCAAGAGAAAGAGACCACCAAAAAAGTGTACATCAGGAAAAGAAAAATCTGTATAAATATTTTAATACTAAATTTATTGAGACATCATGAGATTAATACAAGTTACCTTTGGCCTCTACAATCACAAGAGGTGCTCAAAGTGGTGGCCATTAGCTTCTAGACATTTATTAGTACAGCAAACTGCTGAAGTGTGTATATATATTTTTGGTGGACTCTTTGCATCTATCTCACATTTGAAAAATAAAAAGTAGAAACAAAGAAATATCACCCAAGGTGCTAGCAAAGACGCCACTGTCCATTGCCACATAGGTATACATACTCTAATTTACCCACCCCTAGTTTTCTTTGTCCTTCATTACAGAAATAATGCATGTTCTTTTTAAAATCCAGAGCTACAAAAAAAATCTCTGCTCTTAAACTTCATAAGAATAACCACAATTGCTAATATTTTAGTATATATAACATTCCAGACTTACATAATATTTTACAAATTTTTCCTTACTTGTGAATATTTTCCAATTATTCTACCATAAAATCACTTTTAGTGGCTGGCAGTATTTCATCCTATGGTTACATTATTCCATACCATTTAATCATATTGGCTCAAACTTGTAATTCTTTCAGAACTCTCACTCAATGCTATCTCAGAAAAAAGCAACATACATTTAATAATTGCAGGAAATTACATGGTTATCACTGCCAGATGATGACTATAAAGTTATTTGAAAGATCAGAAACAATCCTACTTCCATTTCTAATTTTCTGTACTGCTTCTCAACTATCATTTTATGATCAAATGCATAAACTGATAAAACTTTGATTAATTTAAAATATCATTATCTAAAACAAATGACCTAT